AGGGTCGCCCCAAGCAAAACTCTTGTATCACAGCAAATCAAACTGTGATGGACCTTGAATGAGTACAAAATGAAGAGCGCAGAAACCCTAAACCCTAAACCCTAAACCCTAAACCCTAAACCCTAACAAAGCCCGAGGTCCCAAACCCTAAAGCCCTGCAGCACACCTGCAGAACAAGCATCCCAAAACTCTAAAACCCTAACACCTTGCACCCCAAACCCTTAACAGCAAGCCGTCCAGCTCCAGCATGTCAGCCCAGGGCCCGCAAAGCCTTTTGCACCTTAAGCCTCAAAACCGTAACGCCCCCCCCCCTCCAAACAAAACGGCATAAACACAGGTTTCGAAACTCTAAGCTCTAACTAGACTCTAACTCCAACTCCCCCCTGGCATACCTAAACCCTAAACCCTGAACCCTGCAAAAAGGTGTCTTCAGCAAGCCTCCGCATCTTCTCTATCGGACCCTCTGGCCGGGTGTCGATCGGCCACCCTACGTGGTGGTCATTCCCAGCTACGGCCGGCCTCAGAGGCTCTGCCAGGAGCGCTTGCCGCTTGAGGTATGGGTGTAAGGGTGTAATGTTTTTTGCTGATGATCTCCGCATGTCTATGCAATCATTTACATATCTATATATATATATAATATAATACATACGGTCATGATTCCATCCATCCATCCATCCATCCATCCATCCATCCATCCATCAATCCATCCATCCGCCCACCCACCCACCCACCCACCCACCCACCCACCCACCCACCCACCCACCCACCCATACACAATATACATATACATATACATATACATATATTGTATATATACATGTACATGTACATATATGTATTCATATATATATATACACATACATATAAGTAAGTGTACTTACATAGGCATGTAAGTAAATAAGTAAGTGAGTAAGTAGGTAGGTAAGTGAAAAAGCGTGTAAGTAAGTAAGTAAGTAAGTAAGTAAGTAAGTATGTAAGCAAGTAAGTATGTACGTATGTATCTACGTTTGGTTTCTATGTATCTCTTCGTGAGTGTGTGTGTATCCATCTGCACACATACGCATACACACACATGTGTTTATTATATGCGTGTGTATGTGCGTAGGAATGTAGGCACACATGTACGTATGCATGTATGGGTGGGTCTTTGTATGTACGTATGTATGTATGCATGAACAAACGTCAGTGTGTATGTATGCTTGTATGTATGTATGTATGTATGTATGTATGTATGTATGTATGTATGTCTGCATGTATGTCTGTATGTTTGTACCTATGTATGCATGCATGTATGTATGTACGTATGTATGATATGTATGTGTGCCTGTATGTGTGTATGTGTGTATGTAGGTATGTTTTTGTGTGTATGCACGCAGGTATGCATGTATGTATGTAGGTACGTATGTAGGTATGTATGTAGATATGTACGTGCTATGTATGTGGTATGTAGGTAGATGTACGTGTGGTTGCATGGATGGATGCATGTATGAATGTATGAACATTATACACACAGTATAATAGAAATTCAATATTTGAGTCCGAAAATGCAGTACAATGCAATAAACTATGGCATAAATAGTTTATTACATGGTAGTACAGAAGTATGGGCACATTCTTCGGCAAGTTTCAATATAGCATTAAAGGTTGTAGCAATGTATTACAACATTATATGTAACTTGAAGCATAGAGTGAGTAGAACATCATATAACCGAATACAACAGAATCGAGTGTAGCACTGTTTTTGGACAACACTTGAATCCGTGCAGAGCATTAGGCACATATGTTTGTGTTTGTATACGTCTGTATAGTCTGGGATACAAATACTGTGAATAGAAACATTTTTGAATGTAAGCACGAATATGTAAACACGTATGACTACAAAACAACATACATACTTATAGTATATGTATATATACGTGTTTATTGATTTGTTTGTGGAAGCATAAGCTTGTTGTTCGTACTCACTTTTGGATATGTCAGTAGTGCTACGGCTTGGCGCGATGCTGTTGTTTTCTGTCACTGTCCCCGGCCGACTCCCCAAGCCCGGATGCAAAAACAATTACGCAATTCTATGGTCCTGCGCTTGCTCCCCTCTTCCCTGCAAGTGGTACCCCCTCCGCTGTCGGCTTGGGTGCATTGCGGTTTGTCGCCCTCTCCTTGTGCACATATGAATTGAGTTGGGTAGGGCTCCATTCCTCATTTTCCGATGGGATTGGGTTTGGCTTTGCTCAATGTCCCTTTCTTCGGTGCGTATGGGTGCGTTTGGTTCGCCCCTCCCTTACACGGTGTAGCTTCCTGCGCAGTGCTATTCAGATCCACTACGCGACAACAGCTACGAGGATCGCGACCTCGAGCGACCCATCCGTGAGATGGTTGGCTGTCTTGAGATGCCGAAGTGATACCAAGATCCGGACACGACAACACCCACGAGGATCGCAACACCGGACCACCCAGTCCGTGTGAATGTCGGCCCGTTTGAGACGTCGCCGTAAGATTCAAATCCGCCAGCAGCAGCAGCAGCGACAACTTCAACCCCGAGCCATCTTAGCAAAGTCTCTGCAAGCGCTTTTGAGATAATTGAGATCCACAAACGGCAAAAGTTGGGAGGATCTCGAGCCCATCCATTCCATCCCTGAAACCGGCAGCTCTTGCAAGGGAATGTGCGCATGAAAAGCAGGGTGTGTGTGTGTGTGTATGTATGTATGTATATATATATATATATATACATCTCTCTCTCTCTCTCTCTGCGTGCATGCTCGGTCCTGACCGAGAAATTTATGGAGGGATTTTAGGATTGCACTTGGGCCCGTCGAGAATGGCTCAGGGTTTCTGAGAACATGGTCACATTACCAAACCTAGATCTAGTTTATCTTGAGAGCTAAGGGGGACGGCACTAATTTGTATTAGTACCTCGTGTTTGGGAAGTCATAACTCTACAAGGGTCCCCATGAAAAGTAAGTCAAGGCGGGTTATGAAACTACCCTGAACCCTAAACCCTACATCCAGCCAGGCTGTAGGACCCGAAGCCCTAGACCCACACCCTAAACCCTAAACCCTAAAAGGGTTTAGGGTTTCATACATCAACACGGCAGGAGACACTGTCTCTCCTCCGTCGGCAGCAGATTCCTGAGCAGCTCATTGAGGTACCGCAGTCAGTGTGGGACTTTAGGGTTTAGGGTTTAATTGAGGGCTTCGGGGCGTGTAGGGTTCCTGAAGACTTCCATCAGGGTGCTACAAGATTTCTCTAAGGATACCACAAGGGTTGAGGGATTGAGGGTCCATCATCTCATTAACGGGTTACTGCAAGGATTCCATTACATTTAGGGTCTTACATGAATTCAGATATCTAGGGTCTTACATGAATTCAGGAGGACATTCATTTTGCAGGCAGTGCTGTCCGCATTACAATGTTTATAAAACCATTACATAAGGTTACTGTAAAGGTTATTCTTCGGATGCCATGGGCGAGTGTCATGGTGTGTATTGTGGGGTCTAAAGTGTTGTAAGGTGTCGCAAGCAACAGGAATGGACATGAGAGGAGTTGGTGCAGCCTTGAACACGCTCTTGTATGTTATGATACGGCGTTCTGGCGTGGGTAGTTCCTGTCTTTTTGGACCGTTCCGCGACCCTGATACGTGGAACCGACATGCTACTGTTGTTCGCCACCAGTTGTGCGTTGTATAGCGCATGTTGCCACAGGTAGTTCTCGTGTTCAAGTTGATGCACATAAACGACAACACTGGTTGTTGCTATCGACACCTCTGTTCTTAGGTCTGGGTCGCCCCCGGCTATGCACCCGAGCAGCAGGAGCTCGGATGAGAAGTGGAGTTGGGTTTATCATGGGGACCCTTAGGGGGGAAGGGGGGGCGGTGGTGGGGGACTAGATTTCCTTCATAGGCCTTATTAAGTCCTGATTACTGGTACTGATTACTGGTATTAATGCCCTCTACCCCCTCTCCCCCCAACCCCTCGAAGGGTCCCCATGAGTTTAATCGCAATAGCAATCGTCTGGACGTGCCGCTTCCCAGCTGATTGGCAGAATCTGGGTTCCAAAAAAGGATTTAGGGTAGCTTCCTTCAAGGTGTCCGTCCGGCCTGATGCTTGCACTGGGGCATTGCCAGGGTGTGAAGTTTCTGTAGCGGCCGCAAGAAGTTTCGATAGCATGGTTTCGGGTTTCTGATTAACAGGCCCTTGACTCTAAAGCCCTACCCAGCGCTAAACCCTAAACCATAAATATAAAGCCCTCTTAGGGGCCTTGAGATACCTCAGCATCCAGCTGTTCATAATCCCCTATACTAGTACTAGCTAAGGGTTTTCGACAATCCCCTATGATCAATGAGACTCGAATAGCCTCGGAGAGGTTGCACCTTCAACCGAGGAAGCACCCAGAGCCTCGCCTGGCATGTCTGCGGATGAGAGCCGAAACCCTAAACCCTAA